CACCCGAACGAACGCTCGGCCGTCCGATCAGATTCAACGGCGCCAGATGCACGGGCCGACTTCATGCAGCCCAGGCGAGCGCGCTGCAACAAGACTTTTGCCGCCCAGGCCCTGTTGCGGCTGGTGCGGCTTCTTAAGTCTTGTGATGAGCTGGGTCGAGCTGGTTTTTTGCCGTTTTGGGCCGCCGAGAATAAAGAATGAGCCCGTTTCGCATTTTTCTTTTTCTGGAAAATTGAAAATGTAAATTGGCTCAAAAGAAAAATAGAAAAGTAATTTTTCCCTGTGGGTAAAATTCAAGAAATTGAGTGAAAATTTTACCGCTGCTTAAGAAAAATTATATTCTCCAGTCATTTTGAACCGACATGATATTTAACTGGAGAAAAAGAATGTTTTTCTAGTAAATGTTTATTTCCTGGAAATTGATTAATGGATTAAAGAAAATAGAAAAAGCAATTTTCCCTATGGGTAAAATTCAAGGAAAAGAGAGTTTTTCCACAGCCAAAGAAATTGTTGATTCCCCAGTTATTTTGAACCAATGTGGTATTTAATTGGAGAAAAAGAGTTTTGATAAAATTATGATGTTGTTATTTTCTGACCAACGTTGTTAATAACAATATCGTAATTTTAATGATTTATACATTGATTCTACTTCTGCCCAACGGTGATGTAGAATTAGTGTATAAGAAGAGTTGTAAATTTTAATGATTTATGCATTAATTCTACTTCTGTCCAACGGTGATGTAGAATTAGTGTGTAAGAACAGTTGTGAAAGTTAAAGATTTATGCATTAATTCTATTTCTGCCCAACGGTGATGTAGAATTAGTGTATAAGAATAATTGTATATTTTGATTTTGACCAACGTTGGAATCAATGCATGCAAATGGTGTTATTTTATGTTAAGAAAAGTTTTGACCTGATTTTCATCTTGTCTAAGGTGGACTGGGTAGTCACCTCACCGTGTTCCACTGAGTTTGTGGCACCGGTGAGGGAGACAAAAGAGAATGATGCCACTTGGGCAACTAAAGAGAGGGATTTTGAATCCCAAAAGATATACTATGCCCTTGACTCCTTGAGCATAGGAAATGAATCACTGCCAACAAGAAAAGTTTGGCTATGATAAAGAACACGATCGAGCCTACAATTGTGAGCTCAATCTCAGAGTGTGACACGGTCACCGAGTACCTCGATAGAATAAAGAGTCAGTTCACTGGCTCTTCAAAGACATGTGCTATCTAGCTGATAAAGCAGCTGGTGACAGATAGTCACTCTGATAATGGTGGCATAAGAGAGCTCACAATGCGTCGTCGAAATTATGGCACTATCGTTCAGGCCATATTTCGAGGGGGAGAATAGAAAGACTAGTTAAGAATGATATTCTTCCTCCATTAGAGCTCTCAGATTAAGAACAATGCAGAGAATGCATAAAAGGAAAATATGTAAAGAAAGATGTCAAACGAAATGCAGGAATTTTATAGATTATTCACATAGACATCTGTGGTCAGTTTCCTGTAAAGAGTATGGATGGAAATGATTCGTTCATAACATTCCCAGATGATTACTCCTGTTATGTCTACATTTATCCAATCAAAGAAAGAACAGAAGCATTGGATAAATGTAGATATTTAAGACAAAAGTTGAAATCCAACGCAATTTAAAGAGAAAGATAGTCAGGTCTGACCATGGGGGAGTACTATGGTCGGCATACCCTAAAAGAATAACATAGTAGTCCAGTATTCTACACCGGACAAACCTCAGCAGAATAGAGTAACTACAAGAATCAATCGTATCCTGATGGATATGGTGGGCAGTATGATAAGTTACTCCACCTTACAGTTGAGCCTGTGGATGAAGGTGTTAAAAACCCCATTCATATTCTCAAAAGAGTACCAAATAAGTCGGTGCCCAAAACACCGTATGAGTTGTGGACAGAAAGAGTGCTCTCACTAAACCACTTGCGTGTGTGTGGGGGAGCCCTGCTGAGCCTAAAGTATTTAACCCAAACATTGGGAAGTTAGATCCTAAAACAGTAAGTTGTCATTTCATTGGCTACACAAAAAAGTCAAAAGGTTTTCATTTTCTACTATCCAGAGAGACATACAAAGTTTGTGGAAACAAGACACGCTGTCTTCCTAGAGGATGAATTGATGAGGGGGAGCATGGTAGCTCAAGAAATTGACCTTGAACTGAAGCGGGTGTATGCGCCCACTCCAATGATTCATGAGCCAATTTTCTCACTACCTGCTGTCGCTGCACCGACAATGCTAGATACTGTGGTGTCATCACCTGTTGTTATCCCACCTGTGGCAACAATGAATGACGATGAGGAACCTGTTCTTCAGGATTCTATAAAACCTATTGCCACACATGAGGGGGAGCAACAACAGCCTCAAACAGAAGATGTGCCAAATGTGTAGGCCCCTAGAAGGTCTCAAAGAGTTAGAAAATCAGCTATTTCTGCTGATTATGAAGTGTATAACACTAAGGAATTTCAAATGGAGGATGATCCCACCTCATTTGAAGAAGCCATGAGAAGTGATCATTCATCAAAATGACTTGAGGCCATGGAAGATGAAATGAAATCAATGAATGCCAATAAAGTTTGGGACTTGAAAATAATTCCTAAAGGAACCAAAATAGTAGGATGTAAATGGGTCTACAGAATAAAACTTGGCTCTCAAGGGAATATAGAGACATATAAAGCGTGACTTGTGGCAAAAGGCATTATGCAAAGAGAAGGGATTGATTACAATGAGACATTTTCTCTAGTCTCATGTAAAGTTTCCTTCAGAATCATAATGACATTAGTGGCACATTACGATTAAGGATTACATCATATGGATGTAAAGACGGCATTTCTCAACAGAGACTTGGAGGAAAATGTTTACATGACACAACTGAAAGGTTTTGTCATGGAAGAAAAAGAATGAATTGGATGCCGCCTAAAGAAATCCATTCATGGATTAAAACAAGCTTCAAGACAGTGGTACTTGAAGTTTGATCAGACAATAAAGAATTTTGGGTTTAAAAGAATATAGAGGACAATTGTGTCTATACAAAGTAAAGAGAATATAGAGGACAATTGTGTCTATACAAAGTTTAAGAATGGAAAGTTTATCTTTCTTGTCATGTATGTAGATGATATCTTACTTGCTAGTAGTGATGTCAGTCTACTACTGAAGACAAAGAAATTTGATATGAAAGATCTTGGTGAAGCCTTGTTCGTTCTAGGGATCGAGATTCACCGAGATAGAAGAAAAAGGGTATAAGGACTGTCACAAAAGGCATACATGGAAAAAGATCTTAAAGAAATTTAGTATGCACAAATGTAGTCCCTCACCTGCTCCTATAGTCAAGGGCGACAGATATGGGGATTTTCAATGCCCCAGGAACCAATATGAGCTCAATCGATAAAGTGAAAGTGGTTCCACATGCTTCAGCTGTCGGAAGCTTGCAACAGGCTCAAGTATGTACGCGCCCTGACTTGGTATTTGTTATCGGGTTTTACTTGACAGATTCCAGAGCAATTCTGGAATAGAACACTGAAATTAGTAAAGAAAGTCTTGCATTATTTGCAAGGAACGAAAGGCGTCATGATGACATATAGAAGATCTGATTCACTCCACATGGTGGGATATTCAGATTCTGATTATGCGAGAGTGAATGCATATCCAGACGTGAATTTTCTATCATCTCGCAAAGGGGAGCTATTTCATGGAAAAGCTCAATGCAAACCGTCACTACATCGTCCACAATATATGACAGTTTGTAGCGTGTTATGAGGCAACGGGCAAGTGAAGTGGCTAAAGAAGTTCATACCCGGTTGGAAGGTGGTTGACGACATCTATAGACCACTAAAAGTTATACTGCGATTATAATCTGGCAGTAAAGGATGCTCACAACATAAGTCAAGTGGTGCTACCAAACACATTGACATAGAGTATTATGTTGTGAAAGATAAAGTCCGAGATCAAGTCACAAGTCATAAGTGTTGAGCATATAAGAACAGAAAGGATGCTCGCGGATCCGCTTACAAAAGGCTTACCACCCAACATGTTCAGAGAACATGGTGTTCAGAGAACATGTAGCTAGCATAGGTTTAAGGGAAAGCCTAAAATTTCTGGACAAAAGAAGGCCCAAAGATAAGTATCTATTTCAGAACAGAGTAATGTGTTGTATCTGTTAAGTCTATCGGTAATGGACCGTGCCGATGAGCCATGCTCTATGCGCTAATCTGTAATGGAATGAACAAAAGTAAATGATATAAAATTGAAAGATAGAATGAGATCAAGGGGGAGAATGTTAGTTGATCTCCACCAATATGGCCAACGGCCTATTGGCCCCTTGTCTCTGCTCTCTGATCGGGGGAGCCCAACCCTAATATGGTTGGTGAGCCCCTGTCGCACAGCACACATAAAAGACAAGGTGGAGATTTAGGCTCGGACTACGAGGTTCGACTGGAGCCGCCACACCCACCTACAGAAAATTCTAATCCGATCCTAAAGAGATGCTGCCAGCGACGGAATGAGCCCGCCACCACCACCGCCGTCGCCTATGCAGGGACACCGCCTGCGCCACTGGACTGGGTCTCCACAGCGCCACTGAATCGCCACCACCACGGACTCCACCGAGCCGGAGCTACCGCGGCACCGGCGTCTACCCGTTGTTGTACATCTACAGAGAAGACAAAGATGAGGTCTTTCCCGGATCTACGGGTTAGAGGTACAAATCATTGATCCTAACATGCCGCGCATCCACCCGGGCGCCATCTCCGACAGGTACACCGGCATGCTCTGGTTGGCAAACCCGACGCGGACGCCGAGCAGCACGCGGCCCAGGATCAGCATCGCCACGTTCACCGCCGCGCCGTTGAGCGCGCACCCCTCGAGGAAAGTGATCCCGCCGGCGAACATGGACCACTTGCGCCCGGAGGCGCCGGTGACGGACGCCGCAAAGAGCAACGCCACGAGCGCCGCCACGTAGAGCGACGACGTGAACAGCGTCAGCTGGCTGTCGAACTTGCAGTACTGTTTGCCGCCGTCCGCCGAGTCTGCCTCATCCCGGTACACGACGGGAAGAAGCGGCTCAGGAAGGGGTCCATGGACGTGACGCCGCTGGAGATGCCGATGTCGTAGCCGAAGATGAGCCCGCCCGTGGCCGCCACCATGCACGCCCTGAACACGAACAGGGTAAGCCCGCCGGGGTAGTCCTGTCGCTTGCTGGCCGACGCGCTCGGCGCCAGTGCCGCGCCGCCCGCCATTGCCACCGCTCACACACGCAACACAAGCACTCACAGGGGAGGGAAAGATCGAATGATTTAGGATGGACGCAAGGAGCAACACGGTGAGGGCATCCGCGTCCGCAGGCCCGGCTGTCAGCCTAGGCGGCAGGAGCGACGGCAAGGGCCCAACAAAAAGGTTCCCGATTTCTTAACTAATTAGTTCTTCCCAATTTATTAGCGACATAATTTTCGTTCTCAAATAATTGCTTCATTGTTATGAGAATAGCCATCCATCCATGCACGACATAAAAGAGACGTCTCTTTTTTATTCTTTTGTTACCTTAAAATCCTTTTCTCTCATTTGGATGTGTTATCGTTCCTTGCCTGCATTGCTGCTCACTCCCCTCTCAGAAGTCCTCTTCTAAGCGCTATTGTTGCTACCCCAAATTGTTGCTTCAGCTAATGGTGGTTTACTGAAAGGAGTGGCTGCATATAAAGTCGAGCTGTGCCTTCTTTAACCTATTTTCTGATTAATCTGGCCTTCTACTAATGTATGCTGCTTGACCTGATACGTATTGACCTGATACGTATTGGCCTGTCTTACAAGGATTGCAGCTATATGATTCATCGGTTTGATTTCACAGTATTGGTTATAGGTTGTACCACATCCAAAAAATAGAGAAAGGCTACATATCTTGCAGGGATGTCGATCCTGTAAGTTTAGGTTCAATATTTTCTACACTTAACCCATACTTCTAGGTTATGATGCTCAAATCACATTAAACTGGAGAGGACACACGATTTCAGAGAGACGGGACCATCAAAATGAAGTGTATAGGAGTATAGGTTTTAGGCGTCCCTGGGGTAAAATCCCATGTTATTATTCAGTTTCTTCTGTTATAAATTGCTCCCAATCGCAGAGGGGCTACAACTTTCGGTGTTGATGCAAGAAACCTTTCCTTAGATGAGAGAGTAGAGGTGTGAGGGGACTGGGGAGTGGATAGAGAGCTCGCTGCACTATGGCTCTCTCATAGACTGCACTCATGGTGTGGAGCCCATAGGCTGCTGCTCAAGCTGGAGCGCGATCGACGTCTACTACGCCTATCGCCGACCAGTGCTACCGGCCGTCCAATCAGAGGGGTGGCGTAGCATGTGCCATCGGTGCGTATGTGATGTGTTTGTGCAATTAACATCTACTTTTACTTTTGTGCCTCCCTCCGTCCACTGTGCCTCCTCTGTCCACAAAAACATGCAACTATGCATTGCGTGTCGGAAAAAGTAGTTCACGGTTTACCTAGTTTCTAATGAATAGTATTTATATTTATAGCTCCAAATTAATTTATTATGAAAATATATTTCATAATTAATCTAGTAAAATTTATTTGATATCGTAAATATTAATATTTTTCATCTATAATTGATCATACTTAAAATACTAAAACGTGACACTTTGCTAAAATTATATATTTTCTCGGACGGAGGGAGTAGTACTTATGAGTAGTATATTTTGGATTTTATGTTATTCCTCAATATAGATAGCACTGGACTTTGAGAAAAGATAATTATATTAAATTTCTTTAATTCCTACTAGGACAAATAGGCCAGTCTCAGTGGAGAGTTTCATGTTGTTGTTTCCAAGACTGCCAAGTCATATAGAACGATATGAAACATGGATTAAACACCCACTCTCAATGGAGAGTTTCATTCTAATCTTTCAGAGGTGCTCATAGGGGTAGAGTTTGCGTGTATGTTCATAGGGGTGGATGTGCGTGCGTGTTGAGCATCTGCGTCTGTACTTGTGTAATTCGTAAAAAAAAGAGTTTCATCCCCATGATACTCACTTTTTCTCTCTTCTTAAAAACCTCGCCACATCATCAAAAACGTTTATGTGGTAGTTCATTAAATGCAAATGAAACTCCTACTGAGACCGGCCTCTGTGGGAGTTTCACGAGAATTTCATCTCCATTAAATAGGTTGCCACATAATTATTTTTATGACATTGCTATGTATTTAAGAAGAGAGATGAAATGAGTTTCATCTCTTGGCACGATTACCGGCTCACGAGTCATGAAATTAAATGACTATAAAACTATAAAATAAAATTTTTCATTAAGAGTGGGTGTTTCATTCAAGTTTTTTTTTTGACAGGACAGTCTTAGTCCACTGAGACTGACCTTGTATATATACAAAACAGTCGGAAAGATTTCTTTGTAGAATCCTGGCTAATCGACCAAGCCCCAAGACCGGCACGGAGCCCCCACACCATGCATGGGTATTAAGAGGTTGCAGAAAAGATTGCAAATAATAGTAATAAAAAAACGCACAAAGAAACTACACTTGATTAAAAAAATGTTCGGAACCTGTCTGAAATTTTATTCATGCCCAATCATGTAGTAGTAGTACGGTATATTTTCTTTTCATTTCTAACAAGATGCTACCGGTTAATAAACTTCTTATTTTTCTACAATGCAATCAGGGACTTCTTGTGTTACCATTGCAAAGAAAGATGCTACCACAGAACTAAGGTCATGTCACGTCATCCATGCATGCAAAGTAGCAGGTCATGCATGTACTCCTGGCATCTGATACAAAGGAGTAACCATGGTCCGAAGGGCATCACGTCATCCATGCAAAGTAGCATGCCATGCACGAATGTGGTAACAAGGGCATCTAGCCTACTCCCCTCAGTCCCTGAAAGAATGCAGCTATGGATCACGTATGTATCAAGCTAGTTTAACTTTGGTATTTATAGTGAATATTATTAACATTTATATCTCTAATTAAATTTATTATAAAAATATAATTCATAATCATTTTAGTGATATTTATTTTGTGTCATAAATATTAGTATATTTTTCTATAATTTTGATCAAACTTCAAATTATTTAATTTCTTAAAAAGTGAAAATTATTTTAGAGCAGGGCTAATATACAGCCGGCTGCGGCCGTAAGAATCTTTGCAGCCCACCCATATATTAGTTAACACTTTACTATTAATACATGGCTCGTTTGTCTTCCTCACAAAATTTCTAGGTTCTTGTGACTAAGCGGGATGTAAACTTACAACCCGCTTCGCCTCTATCTCCTCTTCTCTTTTTTCCACCTCAACATTCAGTCTGCTTATAGCCAATCATTATACTTGCTCTCACGGACGTAGGGAATATAGCACATGTTGTTTGTTCCCTAGTGCACAAAATTAGATATTTACATAAAAACGAACCTCACATGTAGGACAAAGATGGCATCCACCGTGGCTAGGGATGAATATGGGAGGTACTGTATAGATTTTTCTATCGAAGATACTATTAATATACCAAGCTATACATAGATCCCCAGTTATAGGTCTCAAATATTTGATTATGGACAACGAAGTCTTATAATAACCAACATAAATCCTCAACTTCTTTTGTCTTCCCCTTTTCGATTTCCTAGTTGTCCATTAGGAATTGTTGCTTCTTATTAATATAAGCTGGAATCTTCCGGGCATTTCAAAAAACCAACTTTCGCTGAGGTCCCACAGATGTACATTAGGATGGTGATATCTTCCGGATGATTCAAAAAGAAAACTCAATTTTTGATGAGGTCCCACATATGTACACTAGGATGGAGATATCGGCACATTCACAACACAGCCGAATCTTTGCAGATGAAGAATCATTGATTGTTGTCCATACACTAGTTGACAAGAAGAAACAGAGTGATATGAAGAAAGTCTTGCCAATATGTTCTATAAATTTCATGCATCAGGCATGCTCTTGTGAATGCCTATAAAAGACCAAGCCAATACATTATAAAAATAATAAAGTTACTATATACGTACGTCTGGCTATCAATGGAGATGTCACTTTACATTGTTAAAGCGAGTGACACGGACTTAGATCGATCAGTTCGGTTGGTTCACCACATCTCAATCGTTTGACATTTAGCACCGATTTTTATTTTTAAGACATTGGTATCAAGTTTGTGTGAAAAACTTGACTACCTTAATTTCATCAATTGACAAAATGACTAGCCACTAGCCAGAAAATAAATAATGTTTTTTGAACAACAGAAAATAAATAATGTTGATGGAGCCGAGGAGCAAACAGGGCGCTTGCTGTATTCCAGCGACAGTTGCGATACAAGCCACCGGCGACACATCCACCCTCGCTTTCCCCCATTATCCCCCTCCCTTTCCGTCCTCCCCCTTTCCCACGCCAAGAAACCACGCTGCGACCGCCCTCCTCATCGTCCTCGATCACAATCCCTCCTCGTCATGATCGCAAACCGATATAGACCTGTCCGGTCGGCTCCACATCGCCAGCCTGCAACTCCTTCCTTCGGTGAGGGTGCATCTGGTTCGTGCTCCCGCAGCGGAGGCTGGAGCCGAGATGACAATGCCGGGCTCTCTGGTGAGGCCGAGCTTCTCGGCCCTCCGCAGTGCCCGGTGGCGCGCCGATCTCGGGGTCATCCCTGGCTCCACCGCCGTCTCCACCGACGAGCTCCGCCGCGCCGCCGACTCCCGCCAGAGGTCTGATCGTCTCGGGGAATCATGTTGCGTTTAATCCTGCAGAAGCTTCTTACATTTCTTGAAATGATTTGATACCAAGATTGAGCTAATTCCGTGGCCGTGGATCAACTTTCATACCAAAATTGTTGCTTAGTTCTTTATTGCCTTTCTCTCAAATCTTGTATGCCAAAGATCCTTGCATATGGTAATATAATGTTCATGTCAGCCTCGCGCCTGCCACAGTTCCTCACACTACATGAAAAACAGTTTGTAGCAACGGAGCTTTTTTTAGGGACGGCTGGCATTGGAGCCACCCCTACAGTGATGTACTCGGGCTCCAACACAACAGCCGCCCCTACAAATGGCACAGTAGGGGCGGTTGGTAATACGAGTCGCCCCTACAAATGAGTCGATTTGCAAGGGCGGCTGGTACCTGCTGTGTCCATTCGTAGGGGCGGCGGAATCACCAGCCGCCCCTACAAATTCCCGCGGTATATATAGCAGCCACCTCCGGCCCGAGAAAAAAATCCAACCCTAATTCCCTCTCGCGC